ACAAACAAACGAACACACAAACAAACAAACAAACAAACAAACAAACAAGCAAGCAAGAAGGCAAGCAAGCAAGCAAGCAAGCAAGCAAGCAAGCAAGCAAGCAAGCAAGCAAGCAAGCAAGCAAGCAAAAAAAACAACACAAAGCAAACCAAAACACAGCAAACCATATCAAAGCAAAGCAAGGCGAACCAAACCCAAACAAACAAACAAACAAGCAAGCAAGCAAGCAAGCAATCAAGCAAACAAACTAGCAAAGAAAGAAAGAAAGAAGCAAACAAACAACCACACAAACAAGCAAACACACAAACAAACAAACAAACAAGCAAGCAAACAAACAAACACACGAACAAACACGCAAACAAGCAAACAAACAAGCAAACAAGCAAACCGACAAACAAACAAAAAGACAAATACACAACCAAGCAAGCACGCAAGCAAGCACACAAGCACACTCACGCATACCTGTAAGCCTGCATGCCCTACATACCTACATATCCACTCACCCGCGCGCCTACACACCTAGATACCTGCGTACCTACATACATACACAAATACGCACACATACAGACATACATACCTACATAGATACGTACATACATACATACATATAGATACACACGCAAATTATGCACATCTATAGATGCATATGTATATGTTTGTGCATATCTTTTTCTCTATATGTATATGTATATGTGTGTGTGTGTGTATGTGTATATGTCTGTGTGTGTATGTACGTGTATGTGTATGGGTATGCGTATATGTATGTGTAAGTGTATGTGTACGTGTACGTGTACGTGTGCGTGTACGTGTACGTGTATGTGTATGTGTATGTATGTGAATATATATATATATATGTATATACATACAATATGTATATTCATGTGTATATGTATATTCATATGTATATGTATACTCATGTGTTTTTGTATATTCCTTTGTAAATATATTATTTATGCATGTATGTACACATGAGTAGGCATCTACATATGTATGTTAATGTTCATATGTCTTTATATATATATATATATACACGTTTATGTATGTGTATATGCATATGTACAGATACATGTGTATGCATACACATGTAGATATGAAATACTGGGCTGCCTCTCTGTCTCTGCCAGGTACAAGTCGACTTGCTCATCTGAGAATGCCGACGAAGCTGACAGCAGCGGAAAGGGCTTTGGGGTTCGCTCAAGGTTTGGGGGTTTTAGGACATCTACTTTCGGCTGAAGCTTGCTGGACGTTGCAAAAAGATGTCGGCTGTGCTGCTACTGTTGCTCGGATGCAAGCATATGCTCAAGCAGAGTTGAAAGCACAGCTCAGATGTTGCTTGAGTAGACGCACAGAGAGATAAGACAGCATGTGTGCGATGAAGGCGCGTACAGATGGACACTGCGCGTACAAGTATATGCATAAAACAGATACCACATACATACATATGTTCATATGTGTATATGCACATGTACTCATATATACGTCTATAGGTATGTACATATATACATAGATACATATGCACGGATATGTATATATGTATATACACACATACATGCATAGATATAATATATATATATATATATGTATATATACATATACATACATATGCACGTGTGTGTGTATATATATATATATACATATGTACGCTAGTATTATAGAGTCGTACACCTGCACTCGAATGTACATGCATGAGTGCGTGCAGCCAGGGACGCCCACACCACACACACACACACACGCGCGCGCGCGCGCGCGCGCAAGCGCTCTCTGACTCACGCCTTCCGAGTCTAATTACCGGGGCGCAGGTGGGAACCCTCTGCTCGGAGTTCCGAGCTTGGCTAGTGCGCCACGACGAGTCGCTCAAGCGGAAGGCTGGGGTGCCGAACTCGAACTCTTCGTTACTTCAGTGTAGCCCTTTGAGTCGGAAGGTCTAGGACTAGGAAGTCCCGCAGGCAGAGATCACAGCAAACGACACGAAGGCGGACGCCGAGCTGGTTGAACAGGCGCATGGCTCCGGAGAATAGGATTCGGAAGTCTTGCAGCGTTTGTTTGAATCTGCGGCCCCCGCACAAGCCTCAGTTTCCCGAAGTCTGACGTGCAACCTTGCAGACCACTCTGCAGTGGGGCTACCGGAACAGAGCTCCCTGTTGTCCACTGGACAGAGTTCACTGATGAATGATGTGTGCAGCGAAGCGGCCGCCTGATTTAAAGATGGCAACCTGCAAGAAAGAGCTGCGCGGGGCACTGGCCTCAGCGTTAGTCACAACATCATGTTTTGTGGTTTGACAGGTGTTGGTTCTCATGGCCAAGCAGGTCTGGAGCACAGCTGTTTTGTTTCGTGGTCTTCCTCTTGGAAGCCTCCATGTACTGAGGCCGATCAGTTGGCCACCATGGTGTCTAGTGATCTGGATCAACTACGACAAGCTCTCACAAGGTTTGCATGGCAATGCTGTGCGGAAGTTGGGAAGTTCCGAGAAGTTACTGCTTGCAGCTCCTTGGAGGTTTCTAGAAATCTCGCCGGACTTTCGCAAAGCATCGTTGTCAATCGGCATGGAGCCACAAGAGCAGCCAGAAGCTGAGATGGCAGAAGGTTGCTACAGGAGAGAGAGGCAAGACGTCGGAAGGACAGACTGATTTGGTAGTAGTGTCCCAATCAAAAGGTGAGGACCGACCTGATGCAAGTTGCCTTCCGGTCTGAGCATGATCAGGTGCGTTGCGTGCAGAGCTCTACCCCGAAAGCTAGTCAGCGACGGAGCAATAGGCTTGGAAAGGGTTGCCTGTCGCCTGCCGACTACCGTGGCCACTTTCGAGCTGGCAGGTGCAGACGGAAGTATTTACAAGATCGGCGCGGACACCGTGCTGTCTGCCGCCGCCGCTGTGTAGCAAACAGGAGTGGTCAAGCTCATGTTCCATTGGGTTGGATGCCGAGGAACAAACCCAGAAAGTATTGGCGGACAAGCTTCGATTCCCACTTAGCCTTTCCAGCAGTCTGTTCGTGGCCTTTTCGGCATGGATTGTTCAGTGCGCTTGGCGGATATCCAAGACATGACTAGGTCTAGGTTTAGAGCTGCGGTTGACTCAGAGTCAGAGTAGCATTTCTACTGCATCTGGCTGGGCTCAAGTCAGGTCTTGAGCCATGTTCAACCGTCTCGTTTTTACGACAGAAGCTGCTGCGGTCCTGTTGACAAAGCAGATGCACGCTATGCCATCAGCACCCACGGACTGCACGAAGCGTGCCGATGATGCGATGCAGAGCCTTTTCGATTCGGGAATTTGGCGATGCCGCTTTCAGGTGCTCTCCTCAATGACACGGATCAGGCATTCGCACATTTCCAGCGACCAACAGAATGTATGATGGGATCATCAAGACGAGAGCTTTTGGGCAAGTCGAACTGCAGTCCAGACGTAAGGGCGACGAAGATCTGAGAGGCCAAGGTAGTCAGAAGTGCATCAGCATCCAAGGCCCCTCCAGTCATCTCTCGCACCATGCTGGGGCTGTGCTGCTCTTAGTGGTCTTAGTGCGCTACGGCCTTCGCAGCTTGCGACAGCAAAGCTGCAAAACTGGCGGATGCTGATTCTGCGGTTGCATCCACAGATCTGCCGAGGATCATTTTCGGGCTCGCCGTGGTGGCCCCTGGCGGTGCAGTGCAGTCATCTTGATGCTGCTGGCACCACCCGGCCATTGGCCAGTAGCAAGGTCTTGGTCAACAGCTACTCGGAGTACATCCCGCCACAGGACCACCCGGCAAGTACAGTAGCGGCAATAGCGCCTGGCGTACAGTATGCTGGCAGCACTTGAAGCAGCATAGCCTTGGAGGTTTATCGAGCTGGTGACTACAGGCACACTGGAGTTGCCACTTTAGTTCTAGCTGAGGGGTCGCCCTGTGCAGGCACTCCTTTGAGCTCCGCTTCGACAATTCGGCCCGGATCCCGCCGCCAGTCCTCTGACATTCTGCCAGAGCCGCCCCCCAGGTCTGGGCCAGCGGCAGGAACGATTTCGGTCAGCTCGGCGACGGAAGCGTTGCGCACCGCGAGACGCCCGTGGAGGCGAGGGAGAGGTCGGAGGGCGAGGGCGCAAACTCGGTGGGTCGAACTCTGGCTAAAGAGTGGAGCGAGGTGTTCATCAATGCGCTGCAAGCCTCCGCGGGCGAATGGCCAGTCTAATACTGATGTGCATCTGCAGCTCGGCATCGCCTGAGTCTCTGAGGCACAGCCTATTCCTCCGCAACGACGGTGCCCGAATCTCGGACCTGGGATCCGCGAAAAGCGAGAAGGGCTCTCGACTTGAGAATTTTCTGAGGTGGTTTTCGCCTGTGGCAGGAACGATTTCGGACAACTGGGAGAGGGCACCAGGCTTTCCGCGATGTCTTCGCCTTTGTCGAAGGCTCCGACTAGTAAGCTTTCCCGCCGCAGGGTCACGAGAAGGTTTCCCATGCAAGAGTCCCAGTGGTCTCTGCAAGGACTCTGGCCAGCAGAGATGCGACTCTTGCTTTCAGGCTGATCGCAAAGAACATCATTGCTGTCAGTGGTGGTGGCTACCACAGCCTGCTGCTGCGAGACGATGGCGTTGCGCAGGTGCATGAGGGATTGCATGGCCCAGATGCGAAGCCCAGGGGCCCAGAGCTGTGAGCCAGGCAATGGGACACAACCGATACGGGCAGCTCGGAGATGGCTCCTATGCTGTTGCCTCGATGTTGAGCTCCGACTGATTAGGGCCAAGAGAAGCGGAAGTATTCAATTTCTACTGCACAGCAAATGTGCAGCAGGTTTCCAAGGTCAAACCTGTCTCGGCAAGGGGCTTGGCTCATCTTGCCGCGCAGAGCCATGCAGCAAACGGAGTGAGAGAGTTTACCGATGAAAGATCAGGTCTTACCCAACGTTTCTGCGATTGCAGCTGCCGGTGCTGCACTTGTCCGGATCGTTTCCAACGGTCAAGCAGAGCTGAGCACATTCCAGTTTCTGCAAGTGGAGGTCATCACAGCGTGTTCCTGCGCACAGACGGCAGCGCGTGGACAGTAGGCCCACCGGTTGTTTTTGCAGACTAAGATGACAATTCATACCCCATCCTCAAGTGTGGACCAGGACGGAACCACTATGGACAGCTTGGGGATAGGAGTGCGGCAGCGATGCGAAGAATCCTACGCGGTGGCTGGAGTTCCAACTGTTCAGGACTACGGTCGACAAGACCACGCCGATTCAGGCGCTCCGTGAATCTGTGCGAGAAAGAGGGAACTCCCCAGCATCCGAGGTGCTTGATGGTGTGACGAGTATCCTTGCGAGGGATGCGTACAGAATATCCGGCAAGCTTTCTGCGATCTGTTCCTGTGTGTTTCGAGTCGAGACAGTCTTCGCAGTACTTTGTAGCTTCAAATCGTCAGCCAGGTCTGTTCCTGCTGAGCAACGGGAGCCTAGTGGCAGCGGGAGACTTTGACTCAGGCTCGGGGAGCTCACATAGTCCAATGCAGCGGCGGTGTCAAAGTATGTGCTGTTCAGGCCTGCCAAGAAGTCAGACCGATTGGTTGTGATCTGAGCTGCTGTCTGCTGTGGCCAAGCAATCCTTTTTAGAACAAGCAGCTTGTGATAGCTTGTGTATCAGCACCAAAATGCAGAGGGGGGATCGGTTCCGCTCCCAGGGACACCATCCAAATATTCTCCGAGGATGAGGTCTGCGACGTGACGTTAACCACTGCTGATTCAAGGCTTGGTTGGAGTGGGCTGCATCGGCGCTTGCAGGTGCAAATGATCTCGCTGGATGACTTCTGAGATGAGCGCAGCCTGCATCCACTCGTGCCACGGCCGTGCGTGAAGTTCGAAGTCTGTTGAGAAGTTGCGAGATCGTGATACAGAATCCAAGACCTGCCTTGAAGTCGTGACGCGTTGTCGCGAAGGAACCCTGCTCCCAATCTCTCTGTTTCACTCGAGTCTCACCTCAATATCTCAACGAAAACATCCGTGCTGCAACGCAGCATCATGTTCCAGTTTGTCTCTGTGTTCCGATCGGTGCGGCTCTGACGCGCCTCTGGACTTCTTTGACGTTGTACGACATCCAGCCAGTTCTTCCTGCATGCTGCCAGGGATGCACGGGTCCAACAGCAACATCTGATGCAACACAGGCTCTTTGCATGCAGACAGGCGTTCCTAAACGGCCTTGCTCTTGTTTCTTGCTGTTGTTAATGCTTCTGAGGTCTCGGCTATACAGCCATTGCCTCTTCTACGTCAGATGGTGGTTGCGGAATCTGGCTGGTTGACTGCCAAGGCCCGAAAGTGGCTATTGCTTGGAGTCGCTCCGTCTGCGGTGTCTGAAGGCATCGGCACAAGAGCCTGAGCGAGCTTTGCAGCGCAAGCTTGTGCAAAGTCAGGCCAAGTCCATTAAAGACATTCCCAGAGCATCAGATTTTGTGACATGCCTGGCGTGAGGAAATGCCAGTTCAAGTGGCCACACCTCGGTCGAAGCGGCGGCCGCCAAGTGCACAGGAGGAGATTCCTCTTTCAGTCCTGGTTGCGTATTAGTATGTGAATCTAAATCTATAACAAAACTTCCAAGCACAGCGATAGGAGCTGCGTGATCGGCCGCAAAGTGTTCGTTCGTGCCCTCTTCATGCGAGCCTCAAAGGAGAAGCAAAGCCATGTTGATGCCTTTGCAGGTACTTTCCCGCCGTGGATGTGCGAGGTGGAGACTTGCTGCAGCCAGAGACTTTGGAGCCCGTACACTGGTGCAGGCTCTATTCCAAACGGCCGAAGAAGCCGCTAAGGCGAAGAAGGTTCGGATTACTGGAGAAGCCTTGATCTCGGATCCACTTTTCGAATCCATGCAGGGCCTTTGAACACGTCGCTCATATGCCATTGAGAGATCCTCAATCATGCCTGAAAATGCTGCGACAAATACACCCAGATGGTTATTGGGCATAGCATATTGAATATATCGGAAATCATGATTTATTATGACAAAATCGATTGATTTATTCTATCATCTAGATTTAATAAATAGATTTTCGATATATTCGATTTCAATTTATATTCATAAAATAAATATTTATCGAATAAAAGAATAAGAGAAAACGGAATATATAGAAAAAACATTATCAAATATTATAATATATTTCAATCTGATTAGAAGAATGGAACTTTTTTTTAAATCAAATTGATATAATGATTATGAATTCTAAAGATTTCATAATTTAGAAAATTATTTTTCTCGAATCTTAAAAATATTATTTATTATCATATTCTTATAAATATATTTTCTTTTTTCATTATATCGATTAAATAATTTTTAGATCTCATATGAGATAATATATGATAATAATCAAATAAGAAGATATATATCTGATAATATGATAATTACCATTAAATTTATCATTTCATATTTATATTATATATTTATATTGATTCTCCATTAATTT